AGAGCGAGGCTCTTTTTCGGCTCCATGGTCAAAATGCTTATCGGCACCTCCACTCGCCCAAATAACTCCATTCGAGTTGTCATTGTTCCTGGACATTCAAACATGTGTTTGACATCCTCCTTTTCATGGCTGCATCTTCGGCAACATGGGCTGAGCTCTTCATTTACAAAGTTCTTATACCATCTTAAGCTCCAATGATGGTCCGACCGCAGTCTCGCTAGCTCAACCTGGTCCCAGCGACATGTGATATTTTGTTCTCGCTTATAGGAGTACCCAGAATACACATCTTCCGGGTGCTGGTACTTAACCCTGCATGGTGGGTCTCTGATTTCCCTCTTGATCATTGGAAAGACTCCTCTGTATGTTGTTGGTCGTCTGTCTCCTTCAAACTCTCTGGCTTCATTAGTAGCTTGGTCTGCTGCCTCATTTCCTTCTATTCCAACATGGCTTGGAATCCACTGGATTTTTATTGTGGCTGTGGCTTCACTGAACTTGCGGCTCAAAATCATTTATGTCCGAGCTGTTGCCTAGCAGTCCCTTGCAGAGAGACTGACTGTCAGTCAAGATCAGCTCATTAGTTCTACTGTGGCAATTGTCAGCAACCCATTGTGCAGCAGACATCATTGCCTAGCATTCCTCGTCATAAGATGATGTAAGGAACGCACCTTTAGTTTTAATGATTTATGTTCGTGGTGGTTCATCATTCATTATCACTACTGCTGGTGCTCCACTTTTGCGGTATCCTGCGACAGCCGATCCATCGGTGAAAATTGTCACATCCGCACCAACCTCTTTGATCACATCCTCTGCAGCTTCACGTGCCTTTATAGGATATTCACCCTTGTCCTTCATTCCTCTCAATTCTATCCAAATTTCGATTTTGCCATGGGTCTCCCATGGACAAGCTCTCACCAGGTTGATCGACCCACCGATTCTCTGCTTCAGGGAGGAGGTGGTCTTCTAGATCGGTGCCCATCCGAAACCAACTTTTCCAGCTGTTTTTAGGCTTGACTGCTTGATCAAGGGCTTTCTTCCTAGGATGGTCGTCTGGCAATCTCTTAGACATCTCTACAGACTTGAGGCATGTTCTTTTTGTATAGGTGGTAAAGTGCTCAGTTCTGGTCTCATGGTGCAGCGCTTCTGTTGGTGTTGTTTTCAGCTGACCTGACACTAGGCGGGGGGCTATGTTTTGTATTCTGTCCTGGACCTTTGCACTAATCTCACTCAGCACAGGCTGCCACGCTGGGGCAGCATAATCCATCCTGCTTTTCACAAACATCTGATACTTTCTTGAGCGACTCCTTACCCCAGTCCCATTTTGAGTTGCTGACAACACCAATAACCTTCATTTTTGAGGTTGCACTTTTGGACACTTCCTCAATGTGCTTGTTGAAGGTTAGCTGTCTATCCTGATAGACGCCCAACATGCGTGGAGCGGGATTGAAAGGTATCTTTTTCCCTTCGGTCTGATTTATTGGTTGCCACGTTGCCCCCTTCACCCATGTTAAGAAGAAGCACACCTCACTCTCGGTTGCATTCAAGGCTTCCATTCATTGCCCCATTTCACAACCATGTCCACAATCAACTGTGTCGCTTCATTTGCCTTTTCTCTCTTTTCGTGACTGACCAATATTGTGCAGTTATCAGCGAACATGGAGTATATCAGCTTGGCGGAGGTTAGTTGTTGTGAGTCAGGGTTTGGGAGGGATTCTGCCAGGTTGTTTACAAAGAATATAAACAGCAGCGGTGATAGTACAGCTCCTTGGGGAAGCCCTTGCTTGAAATTCTGGCTCTAGCTTATTTCTCCTTTCAGGCGAACACGGGCTTGTCTATTTCTCAGGAAAGCATGGATCCATCTGATTGCACGCAACGGGACTCCCTTGTCAGACATTGACAGTAATAGTCTTTCACGCCAAACCGTATTTATGCCTTGGAGTAGTCCAGCGGGACTATGAATGATCGATGGAATGTTGGCTTTTGTTGAAAACTATCCTCAATTCCGCGACGGATTCTGATTATCTGGTCGGTGCAGCTATGACCTTGGCGAAAGCCTGCCTGAATATCTGCAATCCATCCATTCTTCTCTGACAGGTAGTAAATTCTTTCAGCGTGCATCCTTTCTATAACTTTCACGACACAGGATGTCAAACTAATGGGTCGAAAGGATGTCGTATCACTTGGTGACTTGCCAGCTTTCAAGAGAGAAATGATAAGTGCCTTACGCCATACTGATGCAAAAACCAGTAAGCTCCAATTTACCCAAGAGGAGCGCAGAAGAAACAAACTACTCCAATTGAAGCGCCTGCTGTATGACGATGTGAACAGCGAAGATTAACAACAATCATACCCAGACTTCATCATGAAAGAGCTGGAGCGTGCCATAATACAAATGAAGAAAAGAAGTGCTCCAGGACCTGATGATATACCACAATCTTTCCTAAAAGAGCTTGGCCCACTCGCAATGATGATGATGATGGTGATGATGATGATGATGATGATG